ATTAAATTTTTGGTTTTATATCTGGGGTCAAACCCAAGGTGTCTAAATTATTGAGGAGGCATCTCAGTGGGGAGTCAGATGGCAGAGGAGGTGGCCCCTATAGTGGGAGCTGGTTGAAAGGATATATGGAATCACGGCACGTCCCCACATGGCTCGAATATCCTGAGAATGGTACAAGGCACACGAGAAACAGTCGAAACTGCATTCAAGTGGCTTGTAGGGCCCCCGGGGCCCGGAGTCTGTGGGTCACCCGGCACCGGGCTTTGCAGATGGGTGGTCTCCGAGACCCACAACAAAAATAGACCCAAGCCGAACAGAGGGAAGGGAGCCCCCCTCTACCGTCTGAGTACCAGAGATATCGAAAAGGGGGGGTGTTTAAACCACAGAGACACCGAAGGGAGAGACCACAAAGGGAGCCCAATAAGGGTATGTGGACTCACCAAAGAATGTCCGGTGTTGGATGCAAGCAAGGCGATCAGGAGGATGAGTCCTGGCCAGTCACGTCCTCAGGGTGGTTGTGGGGTGAGTTGGAATGGGAGTCCCACCAGGATTAGTGGGGAGCCCCCATCCAAGTCATGGCACCAAATGTAAGGAAATATAGGCCCCAAAAGTGACCACGTGGAGAGGAGTGATCTGGCAAGAGATTCTTAATTGCTGGGTAGGAGAGGGAGAGAGCAGAGAGCCAAGAGAGCGAGAAGCAGGAAGGGCAGGGGCTTAAATACCCCTCAGTGAGACTCAGCATAATCTGATTGGTTAGGATCTTATGGTTCATGCTGATTGGAGGTTGGGGCAGAAGGAGGATTCAAGCTAGACTTGAGGCAGGACCGTGACCCTGGAAAACAGAAGCTTAAGGGTGCAGTAAGAACTGAAACCTATCGGCGCCGTTATTGCCAACAACTGTCAAGTACTGTGTTCTAATGCAAATACAGTGTTCTTCCTTCTTATTAAAACATCTTCATTTAGCCCCTCACTCCTTCATTATCTGCTTTTAATTGTCTAGTTCTTTCCAAGTATATGTGAATCCAGTTATTTTAGTCTGTTCAAGACTGCAATAACAAAATGCCATAAACTGATGTTTCTCAAAGTTCTGGAGGCTAGGAAGTCCAAAATCAAGGCAGTGTTCTCTGATTTAATGTCTGATGCCGCCTGCTCTTTGGTTCATAGATGGTACCTCCTCCTCAAATGGTAGGAAGAGTGACCCCTGGTCTCTTCAGCCCCTCAGGATAACACTGGTCTCCATTCATGAGGCCTCAACCTCATGACCTAGTCACTTTCCAAAGGCCCCACCTCCCAATACCATCACTTTGGGGATTAAGTTTCAGCATATGAATTTTATGGACACACATTCAGTCCATAGCACAAATAAACAAATGTTTCTTTGGAGCAGTTTTTACAAATTAATCTATTAAATACTTTTTCAACCTAGTATGAAAACAGTAGAAATAATGAACTAGAAGAACAAGTGCTGTAGGAACAAAGGAGTGAATGTCAAAAGTTGTCAGCATTTTGCTGCCAGTATTCCTGCCCTTACTCTACATTTAGGCAATTTTGTCACTTCCTTGCTTTGGAATTGGTAATGACTTCCACACCTACTTTAAACTCCTCAGTTTGTCATTCATAGGGCTGAGCCACCTCATTTTAATGTCTTTCCCATTGTGCCTTAGCAGGAGCTGGTGTACTCAGATACCTTCTTGCCTTTCTTCCAAGTCCCACATGCTCCTGCTTGTGTCTTTACCCACACTGTTCTTCCTGGTACTCCCTTTTTAGAGTGTATACATGGAGGGCAGTGTAGTGGAAAGAATGTGGGGTTTTTGTTTTGTGTTTTATCTCACTGGTTTACAAAATGTGTGTTTTGAGTCAAGTAGTTCCCAGTTTTATCTCTTACTTGCTGTGTGATTTAAGGTAAGAAGTTACATAAAGCTCTTTGAGCCTTAAGTAACTAACTGCTTGTAAACAGGGAAAATAATACCAATTTTCTCATAGACCATACTAATGTTAGTTAATGTATGTGAAACTTCAGGAACTCCTATAAAATCCAGATCCCTTTTCTTTATGTCCTGAACTGAAATTTAAAGGTAAGGGCAAGGTTTGTTGCTTTATCTCAGCAACTCCTATAAAATCCAGATCCCTTTTCTTTATGCCCTGAACTGAAATTTAAAGGTAAGGGCAAGGTTTGTTGCTTTATCTCAGCAACAATACATGTTAGGGACAGAGAAGATACGGTTTATCAAACCTTTAAACACTTACTGTGTGTTGAAGGTGTGGTAAGCAAGTCACATGCATAGATAATTAAAATACAGTAAGTGCTGTGGGTGGAGGAGAGGTGTGTTTAGGATGTGACTTATACTGAATGGAGTAGGTCACCAGGGAATATTTCAAGAGAAAGGGCTGCTGTTGCTTAATCCTTTTTTTTTTAACACCTTTACTGGAATGTACCATAAGAGCCACTCACTTGAAGTGTACAATTTAAAGATTTTTAGTAAATTTTGCAGGATGAATAACCATCAAAACATTCAAATTCTAGAATGTTTCTCATCACCCCCAAAGGACTCCTTATTCCTGTATGCAGGCTTCATGTTAAAGGATGAGTATTAGTTAACCCTGCAAAAATACAAAGAGAGGGTGGACTTCAGGCAGTGAACACAGTCAGCGGCAATGAGAGTGACATTTCTGTCAGCAGTTTCATTTCTAGAGTGTGAAGCTGTGTTCCTTCCCTACAAGTTGTGTTTTGGCTTCCATTGTTAGGAATAACGCCACTCACAGAGAAAGCTCATGAGAAAAATCTCACATCCAAGAGCAAGGTTTAATGGCAGGCTCAAACTGCCAGGCTGGCCAGGGAAAGATGGCACAGCACTGACTCAGGGCTAGGCATGGCTTTTATAGAAGAGAGAGGTTAAGGCAGTTAGCTCGTGCGCGGGAGTCTCCGGTCATGGTGGCGCAAGCCAGCAATCAACGAGGCAAAGAAGTGAGGCCTGAGGATAAAATGGCTGCCAATTTTCAAAATGGCGACATTATTACTCTATCATCCATGAACTATGGAACTCAGTTTTCTCATCTGTTTTTTTTTTCCCTTGGTGGTAGTAGGGTTTGAACTCAAGGCTTCATACTTACTAGGCAGGCACTCTACCATTTGAGCTACACCTCTAGCTCCAGTGTCCTCATCTATAATGAATACTAATTTATTATTGAACTTAGCTCCATTTAAACTCTCAAATCCAGTGATTGCCAAAATTTAGGATGCCTTGAAATAATGGAAAAATAGGATGCACTTTGAAAAAAAATTATAAACAAAAGACAGGGACCATCAAGGACAGAAAAATGGCTGAGTGCCAGTGGCTCACTCCTGAAATTCAAGCTACTCAGAAGGCAAAGATCAGTAGGATCACGGTTTGAAGGAACCCCAGGCACAAAAAAGTAAGACTTTATCTCAAAAATATCCAACACACACACACACACACACACAGGGCTAGTGGAGTGGCTTAAGTGGTAGAATGCCTGCGTAGCAAGTATGAGGCCTTATATTCAAGCCCCAGTACCAAAAAAAAAAAACCCCAGAAGAATGAAAACGATTCTTATCAGCCTTTTAAGGGAACTTTCTATTGTTTTTAGTGTTTTGTTTTTTCTAATTACATTAGCAGTGAGTGGAAAATTTCTAAAATGCTGGAAGGAGAAAAGATCACTATGATCCAGAGATAATTATTAATATTCTCTTGTTCTTACATTTGTTTACATATAAGTGCATATTTGAAATTGGTTGCCACAAATAAAATTACTTCTCCCCTACATTATTAAATATTATAAAATGCGATTTTTTTAATGTTGCATTATTTTTATGGGAAAAAACATGGCCTATACATTATTTTAAATGGCAAAAATATAATATATGGTGAGGATCAAACTATGTAGAAGGGATAAAATAAGAAAAGAAACCTCCTCTTTTTCCCTACCCTTATGACATTTCCAAGTGTTAACAATGGTTTATATATTTTCAGAAATTTGTATGTGACTTCATGTTCCATTGTTTGGATAATCCATAGATTTTTCTTTGATAACCAGTTAGGATTGTCTTGGTTTTGCTTTTGCTTTGATAGTGCTGCAGTGAATATTTCTGCATGTGTATCTTTGCATTCTTGTGAAAGTATATCGTGAAGGATAAGTCCCTAAAAGAGAAATTTCTGGATCAAATTTTGCATAGATACTACCAAGTTGCATTAAATTGTACATCTGCCATTAGTAGATATTCTCATGAGTCCTTGTTCTTTCACATCCTTACCAAAAACTGGATCTTAATTACACCTTTATGTTTATTATCAGTTTGTTAATAGAAAAATAACTCACTATTCAAAAAATATTGGCCAAACATTGTTTTCACACATTTATTAGTGAAATGTAAGAAACTTTTCTGTGAATTTCCTATTCACACTTTTTGTCTGGTTCTCTTGAATTGTTTCTATTTTCATTGATTTGTAAGTAGAAGTCAAGAGTTCCTGCCTGGTATGGTGATAGTAGTGAAAAGGGTGTGAGCATAAGCACGGAAGTGTAGAATAAAACTGGGGTTTGAACATAAAGCCAACATGCTTTGGCAAATTCTTTTTAAAAGGAACTTTGAATTCTTTTTATTTGTTTGTTTTTTGAGGCAGTCTTACTATGTAGATCAGACTGATCTGGAATTGTCAGTCCTTCCTCAGCTTCTTTGTGCTGAGATTACAGATGTGTACCGCTACTCCCAGCAGGAATTCTGTAATCTATGTTGAGAACTCTGTGATTTTCATTTAGTGTACTTCTGTAATACTAAAGTCCCAATGGTTTCAACTCTGACAACTAAAAATATGTGATACCTAGAAGGTAACTTGAGATCAATAAAGTGAAAGACTTTTTTTTTTTTTTTAAAGGTGTAAGGCAGGGAGGGGACAGTCATGGGGAATTGCTGTTCTGGGAGCATGTGGTGTTTTTGTTCCTTAGTTGCTGTGTGGTAACTGCTGCTGTTTTCTTTTTCACAGGTGTAATGGATAGGTAATAGAGAAGACCACTTCCCTTTCTTGTGAGGGTATCAGCATGACTGAGTGCTTCCTGCCCCCCACAAGCAGCCCCAGTGAACACCGCAGGGCTGAGCATGGCAGTGGGCTGACCCGGACCCCCAGCTCTGAAGAGATCAGCCCCACAAAGTTTCCTGGATTATACCGCACTGGTGAGCCCTCGCCTCCCCATGATATCCTCCACGAGCCTCCTGATATAGTGTCTGATGATGAGAAAGACCATGGGAAGAAAAAAGGAAAATTTAAGAAAAAGGAAAAAAGGAGTAAGTACTGTTTTTCTCTGCATTATTTAGTTAGTTAGTTAGCTAATTTTTTTGAGACAGGGTCTTGTTATGTAGCCCACGCTGGCCTCAAACTTGTTATCTTTCTGCGGCAGCCTTCCAGTTACTAGGATTATAGGTATGCATTGCCATACCTAGCTTGATATATTTTAGCTAAACTACCCTAATCACATGGACCAGGTGGTTTTTGGAACTATGTCTAATCAGAGACTTTTGTTTGTTTGTTCTTTTGGTGGCACTGGGGTTTGAACTCAAGGCCACATGCTTGCTAGGCAGGTGCTCTTACCATTTGAGGCACTCCCAACAGCCCTTTTTTTGTGATGGTTTTGTTTTTTTAAGATAGCGTCTTATGAGCTATTTGCCTAGGGCTGGCTTCAAACCTTATCCTTCTGATCTCTGCCTGCTCAGTCAGAGACTCTTGTTTGACATTTCTTTTAGTTATGTTTTTAGGAATTCAGTTTTTGTATACTGGGGTTACATTTTAGAGTCTTTTTTTGGGGTGGGTGGGTTACATTTTTAGAGCTTTTTTTTTTGTCAGTACTGGAGTTTGAACTTGGCCCTTACACTTGGTAGGCAGGCACTCTGCCACTTGAGTCACTCTGCCATTCCTGGGTTTGTGTGTGTGTGTGTGTGTGTGTGTGTGTGTGTGTGTGTGTGTGTGTGTGGATTTTTTTGAGATAAGGTCTCCAAAGCTATTTGCTCAGGCTGGCTTTGAACTGTGATCCTCCTGATCTCTGCCTCCTGAGTAGCTAGGATTACAGGCTTGAGTCACATTTTAGAGTCTTAATCTCACAAATAAAAATACTAAGTTTCCAGAAATGGTGAAAGTTTTCTAGTGATATTTTTGTTCAAAATAATGTATTAAAAAGTTTGCGAAAATAATTCATCTGAGCATTCTATTCATAACTTCGTCAGTAGGGAGGATGAATTATTTAAGTATTGCTCTTTAGTATGATAGAAATAAATAAGGTGAGTTATTTTAGTTACGTATTTTTTTATTTTGGATTTCATAGTGGTTTTTTGGTGGAACTGGGGTTTGAACTCAGGGCTTCAAACTTGCAAATGAGGCACTATACTGCTTGAACCTCACCTCCAGTCCATCTTGTTCTGGTTATTTTGGAGATGGGGTCTTGAAAGCTCTTTTGCCTGGGCTGGCTTCTAACAGCAGTCTTCCCAATCTCAGCCTCCCAAGCAGCTAGGATTGTGGGCAGGTGCCACCAGCACCTGGTTCATAGTGTTTGTAAGTTAATTTTTTTGTGAAGCCTCACGCACAGTTAGAGTGCACAAATGGTGTATAACTTGATGAGTAGATGGGCCTCTGTCACCACCACAAGGACCTGAAAACAGCATTATCAGCAACTAGACATCATCTTTGCCACCCTTCAAGGGGCACTTCTTCATCACAGACTGAGACTGCCTGAGTTGGAGCTTAAGGAAAAGGAGGCATGTTTCCTCTTGTGTCTACTTTCTTTTGTCTAATATTATGTTTGTCAGATCCATTCATGCTATTCCATGTGGTAGTAATTTATTCATTTTTTGCTAGATATTATACAACTTATCCAGTCTGCTGTTGTTGGTCCTTGAGTTAATTTCAGTTTTCAACTATAATGAATAGTGCTTCTGTGAACATTGTTACACATGACTTTTGGTGTACATGTTTGTGCATTTCTGTTATGTGTGCCTGGGCATAGAATTGCACAGACATAGGCCATGTGTCTTTCAGCTTCACTGGATTGTGCAGAAGGATCTTGCACAGCAAGGATACCAGTTCACATTCCCACCAGCAATGTATGAGAATTCCAGTTTGCTTTACAACATAGTGTTTTGCCATTAAGATTTTCGCCATTCTGGTTAGTGTGAGGTTCATGATGTTTTAGTTAGAGGGTAGCTAATGAAATATCTTTTAATCTTTGTTATAAATATCTTACAAGGTGGCTAGCTAAGGAAAAGTATAGGAGAATTATAAATATTAAAAAACAGTGGTGGAGGCAATCTAACCAGTGTACAGGCTATTCAGACTTGTCACAATCCCCCTGTAAAATGAATATATTGAAGTAAAAATGGGGGGAAAACCCCCAACAGAACAATAATGGAAAGAAAAAGAATGTAGTGACGAGAGAGGGGTTCCATGAGCCTGGAGTGACTTTTCTCTGTGCTGCAAAGGACTAACAATGGGCATGCAGAAGAATGTTCAGCCTCCAAACTAGCAACCAATGGCGTGTATCTGTGGAGAATGCCACACAGAAAGTGAAATAAAATCCAGGGATCCAGTCAGATGCAGTGTATATACAGAATAATGTACAGAAAAGGACTGAAACACGGTTTTTGATGCTCAGTGAAACGTGGGGATTTTGTAGTATCTTCATTTGGCCCATTTATGTATCATTGTTGGTAGCTTTTGATTTAGCATGCTTATCTTACGAATACAACTACATGTATGATTTCATCTTAGCAGTACTAGGGTTTGCGCTTACTAGGCAGACTCTCTACCACTTGAGCCACATTTCCAACCCCAGTATGATTTCATTTTAAAAGCAGGATTGTATTTAGGTGTCTTAATACTTTGTATAAAGAAAGTTTTTTGTTCAGTTATATGACTTAATTTATTACGTATGTAATCTGACTTATAAGAAAGATTAAAATTGCTTCCCCAAACTACACTTTTAATCAAAGCCTTTCTAGAATATAGGTTTTTATAGCCATCTAAAGGTCTGATGTAAGCCTTCTTGGAGCCGAGCACTGATGGCTCACGCCTGTAATCCCAGCTTTACCATTTGAAGCGAGCCCAGGCAAATAGTTCATGAGACCCTATCTCAAAAAAACCCATCATAAAAAAGGACTGGTAAAATGGCTCAAGTGATAGACCTCCTGCCTAGCAAGCACGAGACCCTGAGTTCAAACCCCAGTTACCCCCCCCCCAATAAAAAGGTTCCTTGGAAACCTCTAATCTGTATCACCAACTGTTAGTAAACTCTCTAGCATCATTTGATACAAAGTTTCCTGACTAGGGTGGCAACATGGTGAGACCTCATTGTACTTGGTACAGTATAAAATTATGAAAAATTCAAAAATAATAGAAAAAAATGAAAACTGAATAGATACATAAATGGCTGCGAAAGTATAAAAATAAGTTATTTCCTCACACAAGTACACAAACATCACTCCACCAGCCCCTAAAATAAGCTCTGTATAAAAAATTAGGGTGGAGTGATTACTCGAACAGAGATTAAAAAATGAGAAGGGGCTATCCCTAGGAAAACAAGGGGAAGGAACATGACTGAAATAGGGGAAATAGCAATTATAAAAACTCTGGGATAAAATGTGAACCTGTCTCATTCCCACTTCAGAATGAAGCACACATGACTCAAACTTCATGAATAGTGATATTGTGGTAGTGGGAAGTCATTGGGACAGTAAGTAGGAGAGTGACATGGTATAACACTTAAAAAGTTATTCAGGCTGTGGTGTGAGAATGGTCTATACAGGGACAAAAAAAACACTTTAGGGGCCGTCAGTACTAGTTAAGGCCAATGATAATGACTGGGATGGGATGATAACTATGAAGAGGAGAGAAGTAGCTGGTTCTGTGATGTTTTTTGAATTTGAATCTATAAGATTCCTTGATGGATAAGATAGTAAAGAGCTCAATAAGCAGTGTGAGTGTTGGTGTAATGCTTTGGATCCAAATACCCACACTGCCTCTTGGTATCTGGCTATGTGATCTTACCTTCCTTTATGTTTCTCCTTATTTAGATGCAATGTTTTCTTTTATCTTTATGGAGTCTATAGTAGTGAATTTCATTTGCCTACATAGTCGGTTTCTTTCAAGTTGTTTTTTGTTCTGCTTCTTTTATTCAGCATAAATGTACATATAATTATAACCAGAAGAAAAATATTGGGAGTAAAAAGAAAATTTACAAGGCTTGTGGAATTATAACCATTTCTGAAATAGTTAAAGGATTTCTTTCCATGTGGAAATGCAATGATAGGACGTTACTAAGTGGGTGTGTGTTTGAGACTTAGGGGATAATTTTGGAGGAAGTTTGCTAGTGGAGTGAGGTATTGAGGACTTCACAGGATGTAGAGCATGTGATGCTGTTCCCCTTGATGAAGATTTAATAAGGCAGCATAAGTTGAGTCTATATCTGTAACCATCCAAATTTAACATTCTCCAGTGGCATGGAAATAATAATATAAATCTAATAGCTTGAGCATTAGACCTTACCACCAACAGTGCCTGCTATAGACTTTAGGTCTGTAATTTAAGTGCAAAGGGGGAAAAGAAATAATTTATTGAACTCCTGTTATGTGCTAGGTACATATTAGGTGCTTTGTTCCTCCTCTGTTTTAACTAGTCTATTTGTCTGAAAGTTATTTAAAACTGAAATAAATTTGTCCGCAAATGGAAAAAAAAATAGCTGGACATGGCAGTGTGTACCTGTACTTTCAGCTACTCAGGAGGCTGAGGCAAGCAGATAGCCTGACCAGGCTGGCAACATGGTGAGACCTCATTTCATAAACAAACTATGACAATGCTGACAGGTGTTAAGGCAATTGGGTTCTTTGTCAGCATGTGAAAACCAGAGCTTCTGTTGCAGGGAAGTAGACCTTGGGATTTGTCCAGATCATCCAGAATGAGGGAATTTCCTGGTTCATCCTTGACTCAAAGGAGGCTGCGGTCCTTGCTGCAGACTCCAGAAAGAACTTAACAGTTAGTGACAGGAGAATGAATTGTGATAGAGGAATAATTGCACATAAGCGCTTGTGCAGTTTGTGTGATGCTTGGTGATTGCCTCAAGTAACATGCACCAAATAGGGCAAAACTCAGCTAAGTAATTGGTGTTGTAGAGGACAGGATTCATACTCCATACAAGGATTCATTCCATTAGTCCTCTGTGTAGAGCCTTTCGTGTGTGTTTGTATTTGACTTGCCAGAACTCCACTTACATGCATACAGTGTATAATACCAAACCAGTTTCCCTGCCTAATACTAATAAAGCAAGGATGTCTGCTTGTTGCCCTCTTATGGTCAGCAGATGTCACTGCATCTTTTTTAGCTGAGGAGAATCCTATTTTCATTTGTTGGGAGTGCCCAAAATAGGTTGGCAGTGAAGTGAAAAGCTAGATAGCTAGTGCCAGTTGGCACTTTTTCTTGTTCTTCTCTTTTTAGACAGCATATGGAAAGTTTGACATTAAACAAACATATAACTTATACTCCCTCCATTTCTTTGGCAGCTGAAGGCTATGCTGCCTTTCAGGAAGATAGCTCTGGAGATGAAGCTGAAAGTCCTTCCAAGATGAAGAGGTCCAAGGGAATCCATGTGTTCAAGAAGCCCAGCTTCTCCAAAAAGAAGGATTTTAAAATAAAAGAGAAACCCAAAGAAGAAAAGCATAAAGAAGAAAAGCACAAAGAAGAAAAACATAAAGAGAAGAAGTCAAAAGACTTGACAGCAGCTGATGTTGTTAAACAATGGAAGGAAAAGAAAAAAAAGAAAAAGCCAATTCAGGAGCCAGAGGTGCCTCAGATTGATGTTCTGAGTCTCAAACCCATTTTTGGAGTTCCTTTGGCTGATGCAGTAGAGCGGACCATGATGTATGATGGTGTTCGATTGCCAGCCGTCTTCCGTGAATGCGTAGATTACATGGAGAAGTACGGCATGAAGTGTGAAGGGATCTACAGAGTTTCAGGTACTGGGGACATATGCTTCACTTGGTGGTTCTTAAAAATTAACCTCACTTTCTTTTTTCAAAGGAAAGAAAAAATATTAACTTGTGAGGAACATTGTGGCTTGAGTCCTAAGACTGATTCCTTTTCTTGATCGTTTCAGTTGTACAACTCTCTTCCCCTTGTTTTGATGTTTTAACAGTTTGTTTTTTATGCCATTTCCTTCCTTTGGGAGAATTTGCACCTGAGTTGTCCAAACTTGCAGCAGGTGAGAAAAGACAAAGTGAAGCATGTGGGTAGCATCACATAACAGGGCTGTGTGCAGAACCTGTTTTTGCCTGAGATGAGGCTCGGTTGTGAGAGGAACTTCAGCAAGGGAAGGACAGAGATTGGTGTGAAGGAAGCTTCTTGGCCAAGAGACAGTTATTGACAGAGCCTTGTAATGCATTTCCTGAGCTTGGTTAGAGGTACAAAGTGTTATTTTCTAAATGGTTAGGCCCCTCATGTGAATGCTTCTGTCAGTTATGTATAGTTATTACATATATCAAAGAAATTGATTTTTCATTTATTTATATCCAGTATGTACAAAAATTTATATTTCATACTTGGCAATGATGTATTTTGTACTTGATATCTAAAGTAAAGCAAAAATATGTATTATTTAAAAGTGAAAAGATTTTGTTCTTCCAAAGGAGCATGACTTTTGTGCTGCTATGGGATTCAAGTCCTAAGTTGTGGCAGTACATGTCCCAGTCTTTACATCCCATAATTCACTGCTTTGTGAATTAAATCTTTTGTTTAAAGATCTAATTTATAAAGTCAGTTGTTGGTTACATATTCTCATGATGAATTAAAGTCATAAACATTTGTAATATAAAGAAAGATAAACCAATTTTTTCCCATTTAATTGATTTGTACACATTTCTAGAAGGTAGACTTGATACTTAAGTTTTGCTGAGAAAGGGTAAATAGTTTTGGTACTTGAGATAACCTTTACATAATGCATTAGTTAAAATGCTGTCATCTAAGTATTTGGCCCAGTGTTCAAACCACATAAAACAGCATTTTGTGTACAGTGCTACTATTTCATACAAAGTAAATTAGGCAATGTGTTTGAATTTATAATTCCTTAATTCCTTATAAAATATAACACACTGAAACAAATTTGATTTTTAAGAATAATTTCTGATGAATTTTTTTAAAGACTTAAATAGTAATAATACATAAGCCATATCTCTTGGATGATCTTGATAGGCATGAAACAATTTTGTTGTAGGTGAGTTCCTCTGAAGGGTTTTTATAGCTTTGTCAAAGGATTCTTTGTCTTTGGCTTATTTTTCATGTTTGCATTCTTTTGGAGAATCAAAGTTGCAGGTTCTCTGTGTGAAAGTCATTCAGACTGAGCTGTTCCCTATCACTGGCTCCTGGGGCTTAGCTCCTGCTTTGATGGATTGATGAACATTATATGTCCTCTCCATTCTGTGGCAGTGTGTCATTCAGCAGTGTCAGGGTTATGGGTATGGCTGTGACTTTGCTTTTTTCCCGCTTTGGTTGAGGATGGAGCTCAGAGCCTTGTACATGCTAGGCAAGTGCTGTACCAGTGAGCTACACCCTCAGCCCCAATATTGCATTTTGAATGTCAATAGTAATGTTATTTTTTACTTGAAGATTTTTGGTTCTCATTTATAAATCAGTTCTAATTTAAAAACAAATGTGAAAGACAGACTAAACAGTTTTCTATTTTTAAGTTACTTGTCTATGTTTTATGACTTTTTGTGGTACTGGGATTTGAATTCAAGGCCTTGTGTTTGCTAGGCAGGCCACACCTCCAGTCCTTATTGCATTTTTTTTTTTCTGTATTAAGATGTATCTGTGGGCTGGAGGCATGGCTCAAATGGTAGAGTGCCTGCCTAACAAGTATGAAGCCTGAGTTCAAACCCCAGTAAAAATAAATAAACAGACAAATAGATGTGAAATATATACTTACATTTATATTCTTTCTCTCTCTCCCTGGAATTCTTTATTTGAAGTGTCTAATTTTTAAAAATAAAATTATAACTTTCACAAGTAAAAACTAACCAAATGTTTATTCTAATTGTAAATTATGCAATTTACTAGGGAAAAAAATTAAATATATATATAACACGCATATATATTAGAGTAAGAGAAGAGCTTTGCAAAGAATTTCAGTTAAATTTATCAAGTTCATAATGTTTACACATTGTCATAAAAGTAGGAAAATGAAATTGTTTTCTAACTTTTCTGTCTCAAAATAAAGATTATGCAAAAACAAGATTCATATTGTTATTTTTGTATTTGGTGATACTGATTTTATTTTGTCAGTGATGGTTATGGTACAGATTTATTATAATGCCATTAAAAGGTTTTCATATAAGATAAGGAATGCCAAATCCCAAATGTAAGCACTGTATTAATTGTTCCATTCAGATTAGATAACACCATTAGCCAGAATTTGTGGCTTGTTTCAAATGATTATTAGCCTAAGATTTTAAGCATTAAACAAAGCACAAAGCTACTTTGTACTTTCATGAGTAATCATTGTCACTGAATTATGTCACACAATACAGAGTCTACTAAAGACTTAAAATCTGGTACAGTGTTGGAAAAACATTCACTTCAAGTGTTGTTTCTTTCAGTTCAATAAGAAAAGCCAAACAGTTTGATTGTAGAAACCCAAACTTCACTGAATTTTTTTTATTGTTCCAGTTCTGTTTAGAGTAAGAAAACACAAAGTTCAAATTTTAAAATAGAGATTAGGCTTGGTGCAGTGGTTTTATGGCAATAATCCCAACTACTTGGGAGGCAGAGATTATGAAGTTTGTAGTTCAAAACTCAGGAAATAAGTAGAGCAGTGGTAGTATGTACTTGTAATCCCAGCTACACAAGAGGCACAGGCAGGAGAGGCACAGGCAGGAGGACAGTGGTCTGACACCAGCTCGGGCAAAACTGAAGTAGGACTGGTGGAGTGACCAAAGCAGTAGAGCAGCTACCTCGCAAGGCAAAGCCATGAGTTTAACCCCCGGTACCATCAAAAAATAAAACAACTAAAGCAAAAACAGGCTGGGATTGTAACTCAAGTGGCAAAATGGCACCTGCTCAGCAAGCACAAGGCTCTGAGTTCAGCACCCCAATAAATTAAATAAATAAATAAACAGAAGACAGAGATTGTTTAATGGAGAATAATTTTCAAAGAGCTTTTTTAGGTAGGTAGTGCACCTTTTTCAGCTGCAGTACAGGTTTTACTTACAAAAAGTAATTTATCTACAACTTTTTGAGACATAACTTTGGTAAATCAATTTTATGCTGTTAGTCTTGAGGCAATGACAACATAAAAATTAGAAAAAGCAATTGACTACCTGTATAGAGCAAGAGTTAGGCTGGATTGTTTATTTTTTCTCTGAATTTCTATCTAGCTATTTAAGGGAATTTAAAAAAAAAGATGTTCCTCAGTTGACTGGCATATTTGTTTAATATACGTGTGGTTGCTTTGAATTTTGAAATTTTCGGTTATCACTTAGCTTTTGATTGAATCTACCCTTGAAGTGTAGTCTTTCATGTGATTGTGTTATAGAGGAATTATATGATCCTTGTGCAGACAACAGTTACATATTGGTCGAGGGCTGCTCACATATCTCCCTAGTAGGTTAGATATAGAAGTAAAGAAAGCTTGTGTATTTGATTTCTTTTCTGGTATTCTCTCTTCTGAATTTGAATGTTTTAAGGAATTAAATCAAAGGTGGATGAGCTAAAAGCAGCCTATGACCGAGAGGAGTCTCCAAACTTAGAAGAATATGAGCCTAACACGGTCGCCAGTTTGCTGAAGCAGTATTTGCGAGACCTTCCAGAGAATCTGCTTACCAAAGAGCTTATGCCCCGATTTGAAGAGGCTTGTGGAAGGACCACGGAGACCGAGAAAGTACAGGAATTTCAGCATTTACTCAAGGAGCTGCCGGAATGTAACTATGTTCTGATATCTTGGCTCATTGTGCACATGGACCATGTCATTGCAAAGGAATTGGAAACAAAAATGAACATACAGAACATCTCTATAGTGCTCAGCCCAACCGTCCAGGTATGGGTCTTCTCTACACATTCCCCTTTGGTGTTGGCACTGGGGAATTGGGGGACATTGTCTGTTGCTGAGTCACATGTGAAGCAGTAAACCTGAAAAGGTGGATGATGGATTAGCTTGACTATAGGTCTTTTTCTTTCAAAATGTGTACATGTTGACATGTAAGATAATGAGCATGTTTACCCTTTTGCTTGTAGCTATGAGATTTGAACATCATACAGTCTGTGGTGTGGGTATATAAACTAATTCCTAATGACAGTGATCTGTTATTTGTAGAGAAGGAGCCCATGATATCTGCCATTGCAGAGTTCATCTATAAAATTTGTTATGTCATCAAATAACATTGTGCTTAATTATATCACCTGCACTCAAACTCAAACAAGGGCCTAACGTTAATTTGTTTGGTAAAGGATTTAAGAGGATTTCATTTGTAAAGATGGATCTCAGAGAGATAGTGTATAGACTTTTCATCTGAGAGATACTTCAGGGTTATGGAGTCTGTAAATTGGTATCTTTTTACAACATACTTATTTGGCCTTTCTTTGTTGCTGCTCAGTTGATGCTGTCGTAGAGGGTGTGTTTGCCTTTGTAGTTACTGATTTTACTCAGGCAAAAAAGAAAAGGAAGCTGGGTGCCATGGCTAATGCCTAGAATCCTAGCTACTTGGGAGGCTGAGATCAGGAACCAGCCCAGGCAGATAGCTCATGAAACCTCGTCTCCAAAATAACCAAAACAAAATAGATTGGAGTTGTGGCTCAAATAGTAGAGTACCTGCTTTGCAAACACAAAGCCCTGAGTTCAAATCTCAGTCTCACAAAAAAAAAAAAGTTGTATTTTGTATCTTAAGCCCTCTTTTTTGGCTAGTATATTAGGTCACTGACCATATGATTTATATAATCACTGATTTAAGAATGTATTTTTTTTATTAAAGATTCTTTCATCGATTATTGATTATATTTTGGAAGCAAAGTATTTCTTATTTCTCAAAATGTAATGATCATTCATGTTAGTTGGGATTTCAGAATCTGGTAAATACTACATTCAAGTGTGCTGTAAGAGTAAGTCTGAGGTAGGAAGAGTTTCTTTTATTACCTGTCCAGTCAGCCTGCAGTCCTGGTCTCCCATTGTGGGAATATCACCTTTGAGCACTGGGGTACAGGTGTGGCTGGCAGGCTTTTGCTTCTGGAGCCGGGCCCTGCCCTGGCCAGCTTTTTACCTTCCATCTAGTCCTCAGGAGAGTGACTCATGTGGAAAGGTCTCAAAATACATTGGAAAGGAACATTGGATATTTAAAACCAGTTAATATTGTGATAGAAAAGAACAAATTGATGATAATCAACTTTTGCATGCTTTTTGTGTTTTTTTGTTTTTTTTTTTAACTTCAGTGCCTTCTGGTGCTTGAGTATATGATTTAACTCAGATTTTTTCCATTTTCTTCTTAAATTGGCCATTAATTAGCAAAACCTGCCTTGTCACTCCTGCAGAAATTTTTCTTTCATGTATCCAAGATTAAAGTATGTACTAATATGATTGACACAAATGAAATAAAATAATTTTCATTTTTTCTTGCATATTTTTTTATTTTTCCCCAGATCAGCAATCGTGTCCTGTATGTGCTTTTCACGCATGCACAAGAGTTCTTTGGAAATGTGGTACTAAAGCAAGTGACGAGACCTCTGCGCTGGTCTAACATGGCCACAATGCCTACGCTGCCAGAGACCCAGGCAGGCATCAAGGAGGAGATCAGGAGACAGGTGTGTTCTCTGCCCTCCCCTCTCCTCTGCCTGCCTCTGTGCTGGCTGCTGTGGAGCTGAGGATGATTAGCTCTTTCTTACCAAGTACTTCCTGTGTGTCTGAAGCTATGTGAGCATGTTTGTGGCACACTGAAGCTAGATATTTCAAGATGGCACTAGTTCATGCATGAACTTACTAGTTCATGCCAAGTAAGTCAGAATGTTGTGATGAAAAGAGCATAGAGTTTCAAATCAAAAGACCTGACTTGGGCTGAAGGCATGGCTCAAGCTGTAGAGCACCTGTCTAACCAGCAGGTAACCCTGAATTCATCCCCCAGTACTGCAAGATAGATAGATAAATAGATAGATAGATAAGAGAGATACTGTGAAATAGATCAATCAATTGATTGATCTGGCTTTAAATGCCTGTTCTACTCCTTGACACGCTAATTTTAGGCAAATTTCTTAACCTCCTTGAGCCTTGCTATCCTCATTTTAAAATGTATCCCCTCATGGGATTAATGTGAGGAGTTCCCAAAGTCTGAAAAGGACTCAGCCCAGGCCAAGCACCTTGTAAATAGTTCAAAACTGTTTGCTTATGTAGACAAGTATGCTTGCTATAAGGTACTGGAATTTAGGAAAGTTAAATAATTTACTCTGTGTCCATAATTAGTAGGCCATAGAACCAAAATTCTGAGATTTTCCACTATGCCATTTTGATATAAGAAATAACACTATGCATTCATGTGCTCACATGTGTGTGTGATAAAAAATAAAAAATTCAAGACTAAATAAGAAATACACATTTAATTTATTTGCATGCACATTATCAAATACCTGTTTACTTTTATTCCATCTGTTCTGAGCTCCTGTTTCTTATTGGTTGGTGATATGTGGGTGGGTGGGGGAAACAGTGTGGCAAAGGATGTGAATTAACTACAATCAAACCAATATAAATAAATAAATGAAAATCTGATTCTCAGGTAAATCACAAGAGTTTTAGTGTTATCCTTGAAGAAGTAGTTAGTGCTATTAGTGCTATTATTTCACTTTTTCTGTGATAATTGAAAAAAAGTTCAATTTTATATCTTTGGAAATTGCATGTGTCATTTTTAGATAAGATGACATGGGATACTACTCAGTGTGCACTTTTGTTTTCTAGGAGTTTCTTTTGAATTGTTTACATCGAGACCTGCAGGGTGGGATAAAAGACTTATCTAAAGAGGAAAGATTATGGGAAGTACAAAGAATTTTGACAGCTCTCAAAAGAAAACTGAGAGAAGCTAAAAGACAAGTGAGTTACTTATTTTGGTAGATTGTGTTTATGATAAAATAATAAACTAATGTGCTGGTGTCCTTTGTTTACTGCTACAAATTATTTCTTTAAAAAATGTACTGTGTTCATGCCTATTAAACTAACTTTCTCTGGGAAATTTATTCACTCAAATGTTCCTTATTCTGGATTATTGATACTTCAGCTGGTATGAGTCACATGTTTCATTTAATTTGGAAATTAAATTAAAAAGGTGATTTCACTAAAATATGTTTTGTCACTTCCTACTTGATCATATCTAATTAATTTTCATTTTATTTTAGTTTAGTTTTTGGTGGTAGTGGGGTTTGAACTCAGGGCCTTATGCTTGCTAGGCTTATTAGGCAGGTGCTCTACAGCTTGAGCCACTCTGCCAGCCCTAAGTGGTAGATCTGAGTTGAGTATTTTCAAAATAGGCTCCCTTGAGCTATTTACCAGGACTGACCTTTAACTACCATCCTTCTGATCTCTGCCTCCCAAGTAGATAGGATTACAGGTACGAGCCACTGGCACCCAGCCCTTTTTGATCATATCTATAGATGGAGCTTTTTAAGGATGAGAACAAGCCGGATGGTGAGATATCTTCAGACACTACTGACAAATTTGAGAGTTTGGAATGAGTCAGCTATCTGGAAATAGTGATGATGGTCTCTTGGAAGGCCCTACAACTCAGGAGGGACTCTGTTTACCTAGTCATTTATAGGAAGAGCAGTATGCAACTGCTGATGCATCTGGAGTACCCAGACTTTTGATCTAGTTTAGTGTATGTTGTTCAGTTCTGGACTGTTTCTTATCTGCACCAAAAATCCTACATCTCTGGACCATTTTACAATCCATATGCAGATTGAACCATAGTATTCAAATAGGCATATCTAATGAGCACTGGTTATCACTTACTGGACTTGAAGAGCAGGGTGATGGGTTGCTGATGGTTTTATTTTCATAATAACATTTTTATTGTTGTACTGGGGGTATATTGTGACATTTACAAAAGTTCTTATAATACATCATAGTTGAATTCACCTACTCTGTCATTCTCCTTTATCCCCTCTCCCCCATTCTTGGAATAGGAATTCAACAGGTCTCATTTTTCCATTTACATATATGTGTGCCTACTATTTCCATCATATTCACCCTCCTATACTCTTTCCTTATTTCCTCCCCACTCCCACTGATACCACCCCCCAGGCAGGACCTGTTTTGACTTCCTGTTCTCGTTTTTGAAAAAAAATGACATTTTTATTTAAGATATTTTTACAGGTGTTTGTTTTATTGTGACATATCCATGTATATATGTATTATAAACTGTATGGTTGTGTCTAAAGACAAAGACACTTCCTTCTTTTGCTTCAAGGTGAGATTTGGGTCCCTGGAAGCCCACTGTGTCTGAATGAGCACAGCCCTAGGGTTTTTACACTTTCACTCCAGGCCAAGCAGACTAATCAAAGTCTTTTGCATATTTTTCTTTCTTTTCTTCAGCTTACTAGATTGCTTATCTTTTCTTTCCTATGGCTGTTTTTTGTTGTTCAGTTATTCCCTTCATTCAGTCTGGTATTAGGTCTTGGTGACTGACTGACTGGCTTCATGAGAAGACTGTAATTGTTAAATCATATGGCATTGCCCATCAGACTTTAAATGAAAAGTCCCTGACCTAGGACAGGGCTAGTGAAAGTCTGGCTTTTGGTTCTCTTGCTTCTGCATCTATTTTGGAAAAAGAATCAGGGAACAGCAACCTCAGCCAAAATGAAAGGGATGGGTTTACCATTTTCTCCGCTTGTGCTCCTTTCTCCCTCCCTACCTCTCTCTTCCCCCCTTTCCTTTCTTCTCTGTCTCTGTGTCTCCTTTCTACTCTCTTCTCCCTCTTTCTTCCCTGTAAATCTCTCTCTTCTCTCTACTCTTCTTCCCCCCTCTTTCTCCTTCCCTTCCTCTCTCCCTGTCTTCCTCTCCCCCTCAACCTCCCTTGGTCCTCTCTGTTTCTGTGTGTCCTCTCTATTCTCTCTCCCTTCTTTCTTCTCTGTCTCTCTTATCTCTGACTCTCTTTTTCGCTACTCTTCCCTCCCTCTCTTTTTGTGTCTGTCCCTCTCTTTCTTCTCCCTTTCTCTCTTCTCTCTCTCCTCTCCTCTCCCTTCTACCACTCCTTTAGCTTTGGGCCTTGTGCATACTAAGTATGTGACTTAAGTGGTAGAGCGCCTGCCTAGCAAGTGTGAGGCCCTGAGTTCAAACCCCAACGCTGCCAAAAAAAAAAAAAAATGAGTTCTTCCACTGAGCTACACCCCCAGGTTCCATCATGTTTATTTTACCTTTGAGGGATAAATGACTTTTAAAGACAGAAGCAATATCCATTATATTAACAGGTTAAAAATAATATCTACAATATCAGTTTGATAATTTTTTATAAAGTTAAATATATGGTTACTTATCATATGACCCAGCAATTCCACTCCTAGGCATTTATCTAAGAGAAAAAACAAAAACAACCATAAGCCTTTACAAAGGCACATGTAAAATGCTTAGAATGACTATAGTTACAATAGCTCAAAGCTGCAACAAAACCAAAATCCTTCTGCTGATGAGTAGATAACCAAATTGGGGTGCAGTCAAACCATGGCTCATCACTCAACAACTACTGATACAACAAAATAGGCAGATGCATCTAAAAGCACTGTGTCAAGAAACCAGAGAAAGACTGCCTACTGATTGATCCAATTTATATCAAACTCAAGAGAAAGCACTATAGGATGGAAAGAGGTGGGTGGTTGTTAGGAGCCAGCAGTGGTAGAAGAGCCCTAGGGCCTCTGTGGTGGGATGTTCCATAACATAATAGTGGTGGTGGTTACTTGACTGTATACATTTGTCAAAACTAATTAAATCACACACTTAAAACTGACAGCCCCAACAGTACCCCAAAAGCATCATAGACGCTAACTTACATGGAAGGGTGCCAGAAATGGTGAGCAAATTAATCAGAATTGAACATTTTTCACAATGCCGTCACAGACTAAGGTCCGCATGTTATATTGCAAGCTCAGTTAGCAAACTGATGTCTCATTTGATCACTGCTGGGATCTTTTTCAATTCTAGGAAACAAGAAGGAAACTTCTAACTTGGTGATTATGGTGTGAATTTATTGAATGTGTGTTACACGTGGGCTGACCAGTTCTCCTTCGTTTGTCTTCCTTGACAGGAGTGTGAAACCAAGATTGCACAGGAGATAGCCAGTCTTTCAAAAGAGGATGTTTCCAAAGAAGAAATGAATGAAAATGAAGAAGTCATAAATATCCTCCTTGCCCAGGTAAGCTAAACTCTTATTCTTTATTTTACAAGTCTCTTTAATGATCATTTTAAAATAGAAGCTCAGCTACAGAATCTTTTAACCAAAATTATAAAGTGATTCCAAGGGACTGTACCTATTGTATCTGGCCCTACCTTTATGTGTGTTTGCTAAAATGTTTGCCATGGATAAAGAAGCTGATTTCTACTGGGTAATTTCTCCTTATGTAGCATTGTTCTAAATGCTTTACTTAATTTCATTTAGTCTACACATAAGTCTGCATTATAGGGATTTTTTCCTGATTTACAGAGATTAGTGCTGTTAGTGTTGTTTGTTCAACATAATTAGTGCTATTATATTTTAAAATATCAATGATATTTTAAACATGCTTTTCTAATTTCTCAAAATTTGGGATTCTTGAAGTACAAGGTTACAATTTTTTTTTTTTTTTTTTTTTTGGTGGTACTGGGGATCAAACCCAGGGCCTTATGCTTGCTAGGCAAACACTAAACCACTGAGCTACATCCCCAGCCTGGGATACAGATTTTAACTGATAGTCATTGCAATCAGATGGAGACACATTGTCTTATTATTCCTTCATTGATTTGATAATATCTCTTGAGAACCCACTATATTCTAGGAATAGAGCTGAAGTTGAGCTCATCTTTTTTGATTTTCTCAAGTCCATCTTATTCTGATGGAATTTTCAGAGTTAAACTGGAAGAAATGAAGTTCTGGGCTCTGATAGCATATTATGTCTGGACTTCCAGAAACACTTAGGTGGCTCACCTAAACCTTGCAGGTTTCAGTCCTTTTCTGTCATTTAGGAAAAATACATTGTTTTGCCTAGCAGATATATATCTCTTCCCCTGAAGAGAGAATGAAGTTCCAGATTAATACCGTTGTCTTAGGGTTTTCTACCCTGAGGTTTCTTGGAACATTTGCTTTAGAGGTATGCTAAGGCAAAGGAAGAATACCCATGTGTTCACAGACTCTTAGGAAACGCTGCAAGTCATATCTCCAAGAGCTCTCCAGTGCTTTATTGGAATGTGACCATAGTGGCTTTCACATTTAAGCACAGATTGTTCTCACAATATCTTTTTGTTTGGAAGGAAATGCTGCAGATTTTTGTCTGCATGCACCGCCTCGTTTCCATGGCCAAATTTCTGGTGCTCCCTGTTTCATCTGCTTTGCTGCTTTTCTCTAGGTTGAAGGGGCTCTCTGTATCTTGTGCAGATAGTGATTTTTTTCCATTCTTTTCACAAGACTTGTGACTCAGTTTTAAAAATAGACATTTTGTTAAAGCAGAATATTTGAGTTGAGGAGGACAGTGAGTTATGAGGAAAAAAAGATTTCTACAACCTTTCCTTCACTCTGATCCATCTTAAACTTGATGCAACACACATTTCCTGGGTTTTTCTTTTCCTAGTGACACTATTGAAGTCCACCTGAATGTACTCTCACTTTCCTGAGAGACAGGAAGCCAAGGCAGATTTTGTCACTTGATCCTGGCTTTGTCTTGGTGTGGGAGCCTCATGGGGAGCCTCATAGAGGGGGGAACCAAGCTCCTGAGTGGCATTTTATTGTTGAGAAAAGTCTAGTCATTCCTTCAGAATAATTTTTGTATACATGTTCTCAAAGAAGCTTTTTCTTGATCCTGAGAAAACTATTTTTTGGTTATGCAGTTCAACCCTCAATAGGGCTGAAGAATTTAGGGCAACATAGGAGACCTGCAAAAGTGGCATTCCCTAGACTAAAGCTCTGAATGGTGTTCACTAGTGATGATCATTTTAGGAGAACGAGATTTTGACTGAACAAGAGGAGCTCCTGGCCATGGAGCAATTTCTGCGCCGGCAGATTGCCTCAGAAAAAGAAGAGATCGAACGCCTCAGAGCTGAGATTGCCGAGATTCAGAGGTAAAAGAAAGCCTCAGATTTTGAAGTTTCCAACAGTGTTTATTTAAATGTAAATGTAATTGTTTCAGCTCTCAGACTTTCCTGTAGAAGAATTGGGTTTCTAAAATTAATCATCTTTAAGGTTCTTATTTATCAGGTTTTAAGGAGGCGTTGTAGCCAGGCACCAGTGCCTCACGCCTGTAATCCTACTTAATCAGGAAGCAGAGATCAGGAGGATCAAGGTTCGAAAACAGCCAGGGCAAATAGTTCACTGAGACCCTATCTCAAAAACATCCAACACAAAATAGGGCTAGTGGAGTGGCTCAAGTGGTAGAGCACCTGCCTAGTGAGGCCCATGTTCAAACCCCAATACTGCCAAAAAAACAAAAAAAAAGAAGGCATTGTATTACGTAGATCCACGATCACTGGTAGATCTTGAAAGAGGGAGAAGCACGAAACCAAGAAAACCTTAAAGTTCCCTTTGTCTCCCTTCACAGTCGCCAGCAGCATGGCCGGAGCGAAACCGAGGAGTACTCTTCCGAGAGTGAGAGTGAGAGTGAGGATGAGGAGGAGCTGCAGATCATCCTGGAAGACTTGCAGAGACAAAATGAAGAGCTGGAAGTGAGTTTGGGGGAAACAGACAGAAATCATGGTAATTTCTAAAATATTGAGACTGTATGTTTTCCCTTAGGAATACATGATTACCAGTTGGGAGCCTGGTAAAGAGGATGTCTTAGGGATGTGTCTCACCCAAGACTGGACAAGCAGAGGATGTGACAGTGTGTGTTCTCAAGCTGTCTGAAGTGTGGCAGTCTTTCCTGACTTTAGGGTACCATACAGACTTTTATTTTCCCAGACTTTGGAAAGACAAGTGTTACCTGACCACCATTTTAAGCAACTTCGTATGATGTAGTTTCTGCTTCCAGAGAAGATAAGTAGAAAAAGAAAGGCTTATGGGAAAAGGGAAGTCTCCTGAATCTCTCTGGGAAAAGTGAGGGACAAAGTTTTGTCCTGGAGCTTAACCTATAAAGCAGTAGGTGAGACATAAAGCACCAGGAAACTGGGAGAAAGCTGCACAGTGACAAGAAGGCAACGGGAAATTAAGTAATCAGAATTTCCTTTCTTACCCCAAATAAAACATTGTCTCCAGGGTCAAGAGGGAGAAGACATCCTCTTTGCAGAAGGGAGACTGAAAACAGAGGACAGCTTTGCTTCCCTCGTTTCAGGTTTATTCAGCTGCTGGGCAAAGCAAAGCTCTACCCACATAGGGGCTAAACTGCCGCACAGAAGCATTGTTCATGAAAATCCTCTGCAGTATCTGTGGGCAGAGTTCAGACATGTTATCCCTCTTCCCAGAGCCCAAGCTCAATACACAGTAGCACCAGTGTTTTGGGAGGGGTGAGCAGGGGTCGGATATGGGTCAAGGCCTTGCATTGCTACCTTAGTTTGCTTTTCTTATGTTTTGCAGAGCATATTATAATCCTAAACAGGAAAACAAAGTTCAGAATTAGGGTACTTGTGGTATAGGTGTAAGCTGAGCTACTATAACAAAGGAAATAGTTAGTATAGTGGTTGTCAGTAGCCTGCCATTGTCTACACAGGCCTTTTCCATTTGTGGTCCAAAGTGGCTGTTCTGAGTTTGCCCATTCTTAGTCAGGAGGAAGTGGGGAAGAGTCATGGCCTCATCGAGGGCAAGGAGCAGACATGGGCTCATCTGCACTTGTGTCGCCCCATTAGCACACTGCCCTGTGTAGTCACATGGACATACCCAGTTGCATGAGACAGAGAGGACACCACTTGATGGCAGGCAGTCTGGCACAGAAGTGGGGACTGGCGGGAATTTGGGATTAGCTACTGTTCTGCCTTACTGAAATGCTGCTGAATGAGTGCAGATAATTTAGAATTGATTGTGATTTCCTACAGATTGACAAAGCATGTTTCAAATGTAAAGTAATGCAACTCAAAAGATTTTGTTGTTGAGATTAATCTAGGCTTTTATCTTAGTTCTAACTTCTTCCTTAATTGCTACTAAAATTGCTTTTACATTCTCCTTAAAGGCTATTCAGAAGCCATTTTTTGAAATAAAAATTTATTTCAAACACTAGAATACTTAATTATTAAAATAATTGCCTTCTTTTGGTACATTGATGTGCTCCAGATATGTTTACTTTTCCATAACTCTGTGTATATATTCTTACCCATTCAGAGTCAAGTTATTTATGTGGCTCATTTGCATATTCTGTTCATGTCCATGTCTTCTGTTTCACAAGCTAGGTTCACTAAAACAGAACTAGATTCTTCTATAGGATGCCTTGCTGACTGTGCTGTGCCGAGCCGTCGTCCTTCTGACCTCTTCCTTGCTTAAGTGGTAACTGCCCTTTCTGTCATTCCTCAAGATAAAGAACAATCACTTGAACCAGGCAGTTCACGAGGAGCGCGAGGCCATCATCGAGCTGCGTGTGCAGCTCCGGCTGCTCCAGATGCAGCGAGCCAAGTCTGAGCAGCAAGTACAGGAGGATGAGGAGCCGGAGAAGCGAGGGGGTGCAGGACCACCGCCCCGTGATGGTGTCCTTGAGGTGAAAGCAGCTAAAGAGCAGTCAAAGTCAGGCAAAGAGCAGGTGAAGCCCTCGCCCAGTAAAGACCGGAAGGAGACGCCTATCTGAGCAGCTTGTGGGGCAGCCGCGGAACCCTCTGGACTGCAAGGCCTTGTGCATCTTACTGTAATCCTGAGAGTCGGCGCGGCTCTCCTGCTGTACATTCTGTAAAGGTTCTTCTTCTCAGAGATTTTCTCTTTCACACATCTGACTTCTCCTTGTCAGGCTCAGGTTCTGGGAGGATGAAGCAATGGATACATTGTGGGCGTATAGGGGACACATGAGTTTTCCAGATAGTGTCAGCTTATTTGAAAATTAATTTTCTTTGTTAAAATAACTATTTTAACCCTTGAGTGGCTTCTTTTTAAACCAAAAATCAGTCTTTCTTTTCTTTTTATTCACAGCAGAATCAGGATCTCTTTCTCATACAAGGGGGGGAACCAAACCAGGTCACTACTGCGCCTGCCTTGTGGGTGCCCCATTGTCTTGCCTGCCCTGCAGGATCTCTACAGCGAGCTCCTGTGCCCTGCAGGTTTTTGGCCACTCTTGTTTGTGCCTTTCATGCCTCTTTGGTGCAGATTGTTCAGAGGGGAGCTGCCTCCTATTTTCTGACTGGCCAAAATGGCTCTGCTGGATGTTCTTTTACTCACCCAATAACTCCTACAGTTCTAAACCACAGTCTGTCAGCCTGAGTCACCAGGACAGCCTTGTTTGGTTGCAGACAGAGGCTGCCCATGGAGCCTGCTGCCACCCGTGGTAGCACAGGCCCCGGTTACTCACTGCCAGGGATCAGCAAAGGCCTTCCCACTGGGGTGGTTGAAGGTGGCCACCTTGACCTAAGGCATCCACACAAAAGATGTTTTTCAAACCAGAAACCTTTCACATGACTGACCTTCCAGTAAAACAGAATTGCTTGCTAGGGCTAGAATGTACACGTCTCTGCCTAAATAAGCCATATATATGCTCTTAAACAAGTTTTAAATTATCCCTGTCATCTCAGAGAACTCACTGAGGACCTCCCAATTGACAAGAGTGAGCAACAGAAAAAAATGACTCCTTTTAATGATAGCTGCGACTCACCCTACCCTGTTTTTGCTTCTGGTCCATCAGATCAGGTGGCTGCTCCAAGGCAGAAGCCAGGCTCTAAGGCAACTTGATTTGGTCACCCTCTGTCATATGAGTGGCACCCATGAGAGGTCAAACCTGTGGCTCTGAAGACAAACCACACACGCACTAAGGTGATGGGAACAAACCCCACACGAGGGCTCTATGCTCCACCTCCTAGTTAGTATTTATTTTCATCACCTGTTTGATGTGGTTTTTTATCCTCTGCCTATTGCACTGTTGTAACTTGTTGGCCATTATTTGATTTTTGTACGAAAAAAAGCTTTGTTATAGAAATCAGCATACTATTTTTTTAAATCTGGAGAGAAGATATTATGGTGACTGAAAATATGGTCAGGTGTCAAATATAAATGTATAAATGCCTTCTTGCTATCCTGTCAGACATACTACATTCATTTTATATTTGCTGGCAATATTAAAGTTTTCTTTTTTGTTTGTGTAAACTCTTAATTTCTACCAAGGTATCATGGATTTTTAAAATTAGTACTTCATTACAATATTTCAACATTGGTTAACTAATTTTTGCCAGGACCATTATTGATCAAGCAAATAAATTCAACAGCCATTTGGGAAAAAAAAATAAAAGGTTTCTAGTATTTTTGTACAGTTTGTGCTAGCGGCTGTCTTCTGCCTTTCCTTACATCCGTGCTTGCTGTTGAGTGAGCCTATTTGCAACCCCAGCGGACTGGGGCTGGGCCTGCAGTTCATTTCTGTGGGCAGCTGTCTGACTCCACTTTAGCTCAAGTTGGGTGGCCTAGCTTGGCCCCAGGTGTTGCAGTTCATAGACGTAAAATGAGGACTCAGCATAGCCAGCATGTTGGGGATGGACTGCTCCAAAATAAAAGTGAGTTTTTCTTTTGCTTTTTTTAACTTAAAAACTTCTACACTTAAAAGATTTTAAAGTATCAACAGCAGCTTTTCTGTTTTTTAGAGTTAAATTCTGTAGAACTTAATTTATGTAGGTGAGTTCTGATTTATAGAGGGCTTCAGATACTCTAGTGTGGCTACATTTAGCATCAGAAATCTGTACATAAAAAGATGTGCGAACTGGATCAGTTTCCAACCTGGAATATACTGCTTGCATGACATTTTTAACTACAGCTATTTCTATGTTAAAAATACATCTTTTGATTTAATATTTATTGAAGTACAGTAAATACTAGAATACCTTAAAAACAAACATGCCTTTTGAGCCCAGCCAGGCAGATCAAGGAACCCACTGGGCTTCTGGAGCTTTCCTCTGGGTCGCTTTCCTGATGCTGCTTCTATAGTCTCAGCCCTGGGTGCAATGTGGAAACCTAATCATTGCTCTCATTTGAGGCACAAGTGGAGAAGCCTGAATCAACTTAGAAGGTGAAGACTTCATAATAAGATTATGAGCTGGGCACTGGTGACTCACGACTGTAGTCCTAGCTACTTGGGAGGCTGAGATACCGGAGAACTGAGGTTTGAGGTCAGTCCAGCCAAATAGTTCACAAGACCCCATCTCCAAAATAACCAGAACAAAATGGACTGGATGTGTGGCTCAAGCAATAGAGCACCTGCTTTGCAAGTGCAAAGCCCTGAGTTCAAAAACCCCAGTCCCACCCAAAAAAAAAAAAATGCACTTGAAGGTGCACAAGCAGAAAAATGGTTCTATACTAGCAATTAGGAGACCTAGAAAATGTGATGGAAGGGTCAGGGGACTCTTAAATCCATACACAGCTGGGTGTGGTGGTACATGTCTAGAATCCCAGCCACTTGGGAGTGGAGATAGGAGGATTGTGGTTCAAGGCTACCTGGGCAAAAGTTAGCAAGACCCTGACTCAAAAACAAACTAAAGTCTGGATACAGAGGCTCAAACCAGTAATCCTAGCTATTTGGGAGGCTGATTTGATGAGGATTGTGTTCAAGGCCAGCCGGGGCAGAGTTCATGAGACCCTATTTCAACCAATGGTCGGGTGCAATGGTGCACACCTGCCATCTCAGTTATTTGGGAAAACACAAACAATCATGGTCCAGTCGGCCCAGGCGTAAAGTGAGACCCTATCTCAAAAATAACAGAAACAAAAAATGGCTAGGGGCATGGCTTAAGTGGTAGGTAGAATGCCTGCCTAGCAAGCACAATGCCCTGTACCACCAAATAAATAAATAAATAAAAGGACTGGGCGTCGTTCAAGTGATACGAGTGCTTGCCTAGCAAGTAGGAGGCCCTGTACCACCCAAAAGAGGAAGGGGTGGGGAACTCCACATGGGGTCCTTTTGTGGAGCGTCAAGAGTATGAGAGTGTATTGCCGTTACATTCCTGGCTCTCTAAGCCCGCATCGTTTTGAATACTTGCTTTCTAGTGTTCGGACTTCACCACTGCTGGACTAGCGTGACTCATAAGGACGTATTCTATCAAATCTTACAGCAAGATTTGTGGTGAGTGCTAGTTTGTTTCTGAACTAATTCTTCACTTCTGTTCAATGTCATCTTCCAGAATGGTTTTCTGCACCCTGCTCCAGCAGGCTGCAGACTTGCACTCTCTGCTCCAGTGCTTAGTTCAAGTGGCACTTGCAGTGCTGTCACCTAGACTGTTCTTAGCTGTGTGTAAGTCTACCAAAACTGGGTGTCAGATGTCGAGATGTACTGAAAAGAATGTAGGCTCACCTCAGGTCAGGTGGGGCACTGCTGCCAGCCACAGCTGCATCTAAGAAATCATGGCAGCATGCACCTTAGCAGTGGGATGGGAAGCAGAGCTCGCCATTGTCCCACCCAGCAGCGGACTGTTGCCAGAGCAGATGACAGACTGAGTTGGCAAGGTCTTGGGAGAAAGAGAAGTTAAAAGTTTAGTAGGAGCTGTGTATGACTGGGGAAGTTGAGGGCCTTCCCTGGAGTTTGTATTCAGATCTCCAGATCCTCTGCCCCTATGCTGGAAAACAATAGACACCATTCCAGAGTCAGGTCTCATACTAGATTGCCATCTACTAGTTTGAAACTTTTGGACTCTAAGGAGGAAGAAAATAGTTGCCCAGGAAAGCAACTGAAAACTGATTGTTTTAATGTTTGTTTACCCCACTGGTTGGTTTTTTTTGTTTCAATTTTTTTATTTATTTGCATTGATTTTATTTGTATATTTGATTAGAGTAACTTTGTATTCTCTTTTTTCATCTTCCTTTCTTGCTTTACAGTCATATGTAAACCATAACACCCATCTTTCAGTATTCAATCTTAAAACCGTATCTTTCCTTTCCTACTGCTCTCCCCCATTTGTACTTTCCTTCCCTTCACAATTAGAACTGCTCCCCTGCTCATATTTTCCTCTACCTTTGTCTCCCTATCCATAATTCTATGTTACCTACACTTTTAGAAGTTAATCAGATTGCCAGATCTTTTGGGGATTTTTGTTGAATTTTTTCATTTCTCTTCTTCCTCTCCTTCCAACACAGCATTAATTAGCTCTTTTAAATCTCTCTCACTCTACTTTCTCACTATCCCCTATTAGCCACTCCTTCCTGACTTATAAAACCATTTATCTTGTATTATTCATTAGTTTTATCTCATCTATCTCCTTCCCACCTAGGCCACCTTCCTAGATCATGAAGATTCACCTTTGCCCCTATATTCCTCTAAATACAGGAGCAGAAGTGGTGTTTGGACTTCATTAGTATTTGCTGTAACCTCAAGATTGTGGGTTATCACCATGATAGCTTCTACAGCTAAGCTTCTTCTTCCTGAATAATGTCGTCAGCATTAAGAGTCAATGTTTGACTACTGAGTCACACACTGCCAGTCTAATGACAAGAAAATACACCACAACTCAACTACTACCTAGTCTTAATATTTGAGAAATCCCAAACTAAAAAGGCACAAGAGATTGAAACTTCCAACGCCAAACTTGGCCCCAGATGACTAAATCCCCACATAGAAACACAAGTAACATGAGAAAACAAGATAACATATCTCCTAATGCATATTCTTCTCAGCAGCCCATGGAGCTTTCTCCAAATTAGATCATATTTTAGAATGTGAAGTCTTAACAAATATGAGAAAATTGAAAATAACCCCTTGTATTCTACAGACTGCTATGGAATAAAACTAGAAATCAACAGAAAAAAAAAAACCACCACAGAAAATTTTCAGATACTTGGAACCTGAACAATACATTACTAAATGACTAGTGAGCCATTGAAAAAATGAGGGGGAAGATCAGTAAGTTCCTAGAATCTAATGAAAACAAAAACAATGTACCAGAACCTTTGGGATACAGCAAAGGCAATGCTGATAGGAAAGTTTATTAAAAAGCAAATAATGCTGGGTGCTGGTGGCTCGCACCCGTAATCCTAGCTACTTGGGAAGCTGAGATCGGGAAGATCGAGGTTTGAGCCCAGTCTGCACAAATAGTTCCAGAGACTCCATCTCCAAAATAACCAGAGCAAAATGGACTGTGGCTCAAGTGGTAGAGCACCTGCTTTGCAAGTGCAAAGCTCTAAATTGAAAACCCCAGTCCCACCAAAAAAGCCAGAGATCACAACCTAATGATGCACTACAAACTCCTAAGGAAAACAAGAACAAGCGAATTCCAAAACAAGTAGATGAAAAGAAATAATAAAGGCTGGACGCCAGTGGCTCATGTCTGTAATCCTAGTTACTCAGGAGGCGGCGGTCAGGAGGATCACAGTTCAAATCCAGCCCAGGCAAATAGTTTGAGAGATCCTATCTTGAATATACCCAACACAAAAAAGTGCTGTTGGGAGTGACTCAAGTGGTAGAGCAGCCTAGCAAGCATGAGGCCGAGTTCAAACCCCAATACCACCAAAAAGAAAAAGGAATAATAAAGATTAGGGCAGATATTAATGGAAATAGAGTCTAAAAAACAATACAAAGAATTAATGAAACTAAAAGTTGGTTCTTTGAGAAGATAAAGAAGAGTGATAAACCCTTAGCCAAACAAACCAAAAAAGGAAGACCCAAATCAAAATTAGAGATGAAAAAGCGGCTATCACAACACCAAAAACATCCAGAGGAAAATCTAAAAGAAATTTGTAGACTCACATAACTTGCCTAAATTGATCCAAGAGGGTATCAGCCACTTAAATAGGTCTGTAATGAGCAACAAAGTTGAGGCAGTTATAGTTGCCAGCAAAGAAGAGCCCAGGACTGGATGGGTTCATTGCTGGATTCTACCAGACCTTTAAAGAAGAAATGACACTCTTACTCCTCAAATAATTCCATGAAATAGAAAGGGAAAGAGCACTACCAAACTCATTCTATGAAGCCAGTATTACCCTGATACCAAAATTGGGTAGGGATAGAACAAAAAATTGTCGGCCAATTTCTTTGATGAACATAGATGCAGAAATTCTCAATACAGTACTTACAAGTCAAATTCAACACATTAAAAAGATCACACACCATGATCAAATTGGTTCCATTGCAGGGATGTTTCAACATAAGCAAATCAAATGTTATTATAAACATCACATGAACAGAATCAAGGACAAAAATCACACAATCTGGACTGCAGGAGTGGTGCAAGTGGTAGAGCGCCTGCCTAGCAAGTGTGAGGACCTGAGCTCAAACTCCACTACCAGCTGGACACTGTTGTAATCCTAACTACTTCCGAGGCTGACATTAAGAGGATTGCAGTTGGAGGCTAGCCCAAAGCAAATATTTCTTGAGATCCTGTCTCCAAAATAAACACAGCAAAAAGGACTGGAGGTGTGGCTGAAGCAGTAGAGCACGTGCTTTTCAACTGCAAAGCCCTGAGTTCAAACCTCAGCTCCATCCAAAAAAAAGCCCACCTGTGATTCTAGCTACTCAGAGGCAGAGATCAGGAAGATCGCAGTTCAAAGC